ACGCCCCTTCTAGTAATATTCCAGCAATATCACGGCGGGGTACACCAGAAATGGGCTTCACCAGAAATGGGCTTCACACATTGTACAAATGTTGGGAATCGTACCCGGGTCTTCAGCATGACGAGCGAACGCTTTAACCAGTAGGCTACCTGACCGTCCCGTTAGATGTGCAGTGTAAAAATATTTCGGATCAGATCTTTAGGCCTCCAGCATACAAACACTTCGGATCAGATCTACAAGCCTACAGTGTATAAATAGTTCGGATCAGATCTTCAGGCCTACAGCATACAAACACTTCGGATCACAGCTACATGCTTTCCGTGTACAAACACGTCGGGACCAGGTTTTTGGGCCTACACTATGCAAACAGTTCGGATCAGATCTTCAGACCAGCAGCATACAAACACTTCGGATCACGGCTACATGCTTTCCGTGTACAAACACGTCGGGACCAGGTTTTTGGGCCTACACTATGCAAACAGTTCGGATCAGATCTTCAGGCCAGCAGCATAAAATAGGTTCAGCTCAAGGAAGGCTTGGATCAGAGAAGGACTTGTCCCGGCAATTTAGGAAAACCACCACATCACCTCTGTATCAATCAGGTTCCTCCTTGTCTCGCGGCAAGGATTTTTGCCTTCTAAACTTACGCATCCTGTCAGAAATAATCGCCCTTCGCGAAGAACTGAAGCATATTATCAATGTTCCAGCAGGACAAATGTTGGGGGAACAGCTTCACCGGGGGTAAAGGCTTTTTGAAGGGAGAAAAACCACTTCAAGTCAATATCTAGTTTTTACTGCCCGTTTTAAAGGCTTTCCTTTACAGGATGTTTGTCGTCACAGACTATCCTGCCTCCTGTTAGAGACTTTAACCACATCCTTTCCTCCTTTGCCCATAATTGCCCCTTTTGTCTGGCGGCTATTTTTCAATTAAGACAGTTTGTACAGCCCTGGATAGGGTTTCTGTGATGACCATGAAGAAGCCATACCATGGCCGGCACACTATTTACAATAAAGATTTTTCTTTGTTATACTGCATTGGTCAATTTATCTTCAAGGAACCAATGCACTGGGCGTCTCATTTAGGAAATAAAATAGGAACAATTTTCATATCCATTAAACGTCCTGGAATGTCTGGTTTGTTCACACTAAGGGGTAGGGCATACGAGTGAAATATCAGGGCAGGACACTGTTTCCCGGATATAGTGAGTGAGTGAGTGAGTGAGTGAGTGAGCGAGCGTGCGTGCGTGCGTGCGTGCGTGCGTGCGTGCGTGCGTGCGTGCGTGCGTGCGTGCGTGCGTGCGTGCGTGCGTGCGTGCGTGCGTGCGTGCGTGCGTGCGTGCGTGCGTGCGTGAGTGAGTGAGTGAGTGAGTGAGAGAGTGAGTGGTGTTTTACACCTCCCGCTATATTACCTTTGGGGACATGGCACATTTTATATTTTAGACTTCACGTTTACCCAAGTGGGGAATCAACCAACGTCTTCAGCGAGACGGTCCAACACTTTACCCACTCGCCTAACCCACCTCCCCTTCAAAAAGATTATGAAAACACGATACCGATTACAAACTATTTTAATAAATAGTTATGACAATATTCCGTAATGTTCTATGGCGAATAGCTTATCGAAAATGATATACAATCAAATTGAAATAGAAATCATGGTAGATTGGCCTAAAAATTACGACGGTCAAAATATACTCATGAACATTTGTATTTAGAAACTTTAAAGATTTAAAACAATTTTCACAAATATTTTTTTCGTAAACTGAAGCAATTTATCGGTGAATACCACAGAGAAAAGCATGAAAGATGCTCATATCGGAGAGGTAGTTAAAGTTACATTCTGTAGAAGACAGTGCTGGGATCTTTACTTTTCCAAATTGACTTTCCAGACATATGATCATACATAACCCAGATTCCATCACCCCTACAGGCGTCAATATGTATGTCGAGTTGATGAACAGTAGCGCCGGCCATGCATCCCTACACGGACTCGGCTATACACTGTGGCGTCTTGTGTACATGTACTGATTTATAGACATAACCTTTACTTCCTCAGATCAGTAGTGTAGCTGCTGGTGGTTTATACTCCAAGATTCACCAAGGTTATTATCCTTGGTTTGTCAGTTTGTTGGGCGGACACTTTCGTTAACTGTGTGAGTGGCGGGTACTAGGGCTGGGACGGGTACCTCGGGTACTCGGGTCGGGTGGGTCCTGAGTAGGACCCGGGTACCCACTTGACTACCCGGACCCTTGGTCAGTCACGTGACATACTGTCTAATGACATTAACAATAAAACTCAATGGTTACACTGCAAGTATAGCTAATGTTCACATTTCTTTCTCACTATGCAGGCATTCGTTCTGACTTTTATATGTTAGAGTAAGGATAAAGCGTCTATCAACTGCTGTGTATACATGATCATGTATCTAAATAGTTTTTGCTAGGGATGCGGTAAAACAATTAACATTCGGACATTTTGTAACAAACTCTTGAGACCTATAGCGGCTATCCGGGTAGGGCCGGGTAATAGGGTGTCGGGTAAATGTAAATGTGGTCTCGTCCTTAACGTTTAATATTTATTTTAATATTACATATTGTATGAATATTCACAAATGTTTTACATACTCTTGACGATAGTTAGCATAATAATATTGAACATCACATATGGCGATTATACAATATATCATAATGTACGTGCTTGTTCTACACATTGGTAGCAAATTGTAGACTTAATGTATTTCCTAGTATAATTGATAAATGATGTAGAGTGACTACTCGAACATCGGAATCCAGCAGATGCCAAGGGTTTATATTGATATTTCCCACTTTGCCGTTAATTTATATATTAAGGTTCCAGAAACGTGGACCGCGGTATTGATTAACGGTTTCTCTTGTTCTGTCATCTGTAGAAATTCACAGATACAATATCCCATATTTGCTAACGTCAAGACGTCTAGCGAGTGCGCGGAAGACACATCACAAGACGTTACACAGAGAATTGTCCAGCAAGCAACAACATTAAAACAATAGAAATTTAGTGTCAAGTGTAAGTTCGATCGACTTATAATTACAAAAACAGCTGGTATATTTCTTTTTCATGTACTGAGGGAAAGAGTATTTTGTGTTTCTGAAATCCACTTTTTGTGCATCTTTAGATCACAACCAGGACCTACAGTTTCATAATTATATCTGGACCACTGGGGTAATAGTGGACAATGTCCTCCAGTAATAATGACAATGACTTATATTTACACCCCTTGGGTGTACCATAGGAAGGGAATATTGGCATTTACAGTGGACAACGTTCTCAAGAAATAGGGACAATGACTTACATTTACATCCCTTGGGTGTACAATAAGAAGGGAATATTGGCATTTACAGTGGACAACGTTCTCAAGAAATAGGGACAATGACTTATATTTACATCCCTTGGGTGTACAATAAGAAGGGAATATTGGCATTTACAGTGGACAACGTTCTCAAGACATAGGGACAATGACTTACATTTACATCCATTCGGTTTACAATTGAAAAGGACCGTTGGCGTTTACAGTGGACAACGGTCTCATGTCATAAGGACAATGACATATTAATCTACCCTTCGGGTTTTCGGTAGGGAATGTTCTCTAAGTCAATAAAACAATGCTACAACGTTCTCAAGTCATATGGACAATACAAAATAATTGTACTATTGGGTTTACAGCGGACACAGTTCTCGAGTTGTCTTTTGCATATACTTGCACCGTTAAATTGGGAATAATAAACCATATAAGCAATGTAAAATAATTGCACCATTGTTGCATACAGTAGACACATTATTCTAGTAATATTAACATTCATATGTACATGAAACAAACAGTTAAATATCTTTTTGCCGTATCCAACTCGATGTTTATTCGATGTTGACTCTACATGTGTGTGACTTGTATATTGTGGAAAAGGGACTTCGATTTCAATGAATGCTGGATCTTTACGATGGTGATAGAAATTCCTTCCTTATCTACACCATGAATCCTGCTCATTTGTCTTGAACAACGCCATGATTGCTATTTCCTTGTCTTGATCAATACCAAGAATCCTGCTCCCTTGTCTGAAACAAGATCATAAATCCTGCTCCTGTGCCTTGATCAATATGAATCCTGCTCGCTTGTCTTGAACAACATCATGAATCCTGCTCCCTTGTCTTGAGCAACATCATGAATCCCGCTCCCTTGTCTAAACAGAATCAATCCTGCTCCCTTGTCTTGAACAGCATCATGAATCCTGCTCCTTTTTCTTGAACAACGCCATGAATCCTGCTCCTTTTTCTTGAACAACATCATGAATCCTGCTCCCTTGTCTTGAACAACGCCATGAATTCTGCTCCTTTTTCTTGAACAACGCCATGAATCCTGCTCCCTTGTCTTGAACAACATCATGAATCCTGCTCTCTTGTCTTGAACAACGCCATGAATCCTGCTCCCTCGTCTTGAACACAATGAATCCTGCTATCTTGTCATGAATAACATCATGAATCCTGCTTCCTTGTCTTGAACACAATGAATCCTGCTATCTTGTCTTGAACAACGCCATGAATCCTGCTCCCTTGTCTTGAACACAATGAATCCTGCTACCTTGTCATGAACAACATCATGAATCCTGCTCTCTTGTCTTGAACAACAACATGAATCCCGCTTCCTTGTCTTGAACACAATGAATCCTGCTACCTTGTCATGAACAACATCATGAATCCTGCTCCCTTGTCTTGAACAACATCATGAATCCTGCTCCTTTTTCTTGAACAACGCCATGAATCCTGCTCCTTTTTCTTGAACAACGCCATGAATCCTGCTCCCTTGTCTTGAACAACACGCACCTGAATCAACTGTGCGGTCAGGGAGGACACTCCTCTAAATAAATTACACGGTATATACAGTAACATGTAGTTTAAATTGGTGGAATCGAAGCATTGTTATCATTCCTGAGCGAGACTCGTTAATTATTTGGGAACCCAATTCCGCATGATCAAGTAATGCTAAAACATAAGTAGATGGTCATCAAACTAATCACGGTCATCGACTTAACGCTCGGCGAACTGGGCCCACCACCTGCATGTCGCTGATTATTCCTGGAGCCAGGTGATCGGTGATTAAAGATACACGTTTAGCATTGACGAGAACTTGCTACTAATTCAATAGAATAATGAGCATCTCATTTAAGATGTCAACAAACAGCACTCGTGCCACGTACCTCGTTTTCCGATGATACTGAATTAGACATGTTCATCTGAAACATGATGCTGTTCAAATACCACGACAATACGAGCGCATGCATCGCTTGTTAGCATTGTACTGTTCCGTGTGACATTGTGACAAGGGAAGTGCAGCACTTTGCTTTGAAACGCAATAGGGATTCTGTTACCGAGCTGTTAAACATAAAGGACATGGAGAGACAATTACTACCAATGACCCAGAACATTAGTGTATTGGGAACTGCATGCAAGGCGTCAATAAATGTAATCAAATTTGAGACGTTATTAAACATTTCATAGACCAGAATATGTGTTCAGGCAAGTGAGTGATTTGGTTATTTTGTGGAGTGGAGTGGAGTGGAGTGGAGCGGAGCGGAGAGAAGTGGAGTGGAGTGGAGTGGAGTGGAGTGGAGTGGAGTGGAGTGGAGTGGAGTGGAGCGGAGTGGAGCGGAGTGGAGTGGAGCGGAGAGAAGTGGAGTGGAGTGGAGTGGAGAGAAGTGGAGTGGAGTGGAGTGGAGATAAGTGCAGTGGAGTGGAGAGAAGGGGAGAGGAGCGGAGTGGAGTGGAGCGGAGCGGAGAGAAGTGGAGTGGAGTGGAGTGGAGAGAAGTGGAGAGAAGTGCAGTGGAGTGGAGTGGAGCGGAGAGAAGTGGAGTGGAGAGAAGTGGAGTGGAGTGGAGAGAAGTGGAGTTGAGTGGAGTGGAGAGCAGTGGAGTGGAGTGGAGAGAAGTGGAGTGGAGTGGAGAGGAGAGGAGAGCAGTGGAGTGGAGTGGAGAGGAGTGGAGCGGAGAGAAGTGGAGTAGAGAGAAGTGGAGTGGAGTGGAGAAAAGTGGAGTGGAGTGGAGTGGAGAGGAGTGGAGTGGAGAGAAGTGGAGTGGAGATAAGTGGAGTGGAGTGGAGAGAAGAGGAGCGGAGTGGAGTGGAGTGGAGTGGTGAGAAGTGGATTGGAGTGGAGTGGAGAGAAGTGGAGTGGAGTGGAGTGGAGAGAAGTGCAGTGGAGTGGAGAGAAGGGGAGAGAAGCGGAGTGGAGTGGAGAGAAATGGAGTGGAGATAAGTGGAGTGGAGTGGAGAGAAGAGGAGAGGAGCAGAGTGGAGTGGAGTGGAGCGGAGAGAAGTGGAGTGGAGAAAAGTGGAGTGGAGTGGAGAGAAGTGGAGTGGAGTGGAGTGGAGAGGAGTGGAGTGGAGAGAAGTGGAGTGGAGTGGAGAGAAATGGAGTGGAGTGGAGAGAAGTGCAGTGGAGTGGAGAGAAGGGGAGAGGAGCGGAGTGGAGTGGAGTGGAGTGGAGTGGAGTGGAGTGGAGAGAAGTGGAGTGGAGAGGAGTGGAGTGGAGAGAAGTGGAGTGGAGTGGAGAGAAGTGGAGAGGAGCGGAGCGGAGAGAAGTGGAGTGGAGTGGAGAGGGGCGGGGCGGAGAGAAGTTGAGTGGAGTGGAGCGGAGAGAAGTGGAGTTGAGTGGAGAGGAGAGGAGAGAAGTGGAGTGGAGTGGAGCGGAGAGAAGTGGAGTGGAGAGAAGTGGAGTGGAGTGAAGAGAAGTGGAGTGGAGTGGAGTGGAGTGGAGTGGAGTGGAGTGGTGAGAAGTGGAGTGGAGTGGAGTGGAGAGAAGTGGAGCGGAGTGGAGAGAAGTAGAGTGGAGTGGAGAGAAGTGGAGTGGAGTGGAGAGAAGGGGAGAGGAGTGGAGCAGAGAGAAGTGGAGTGGAGTGGAGTGGAGCGGAGTGGGGCAGGGCGGAGTGGAGTGGAGTGGAGTGGAGTGGAGAGAAGAGGAGAGGAGCAGAGTTGAGTGGAGTGGAGCGGAGAGAAGTGGAGTGGAGAAAAGTGGAGTGGAGTGGAGAGAAGTGGAGTGGAGTGGAGTGGAGAGGAGTGGAGTGGAGAGAAGTGGAGTGGAGTGGAGAGAAATGGAGTGGAGTGGAGAGAAGTGCAGTGGAGTGGAGAGAAGGGGAGAGGAGCGGAGTGGAGTGGAGTGGAGTGGAGTGGAGTGGAGTGGAGAGAAGTGGAGTGGAGTGGAGTGGAGTGGAGTGGAGAGAAGTGGAGTGGAGTGGAGAGAAGTGGAGAGGAGCGGAGCGGAGAGAAGTGGAGTGGAGTGGAGAGGGGCGGGGCGGAGAGAAGTTGAGTGGAGTGGAGTGGAGAGAAGTGGAGTGGAGTGGAGAGGAGAGGAGAGAAGTGGAGTGGAGTGGAGCGGAGAGAAGTGGAGTGGAGAGAAGTGGAGTGGAGTGGAGAGAAGTGGAGTGGAGTGGAGTGGAGTGGTGAGAAGTGGAGTGGAGTGGAGAGAAGTGGAGCGGAGTGGAGAGAAGTGGAGTGGAGAGAAGTGGAGTGGAGTGGAGAGAAGGGGAGAGGAGTGGAGCGGAGAGAAGTGGAGTGGAGTGGAGTGGAGCGGAGTGGGGCAGGGCGGAGTGGAGTGGAGTGGAGTGGAGTGGAGTGTGTACAGCTAAATGCATCTGATGACCCATCCGGTAAATGTGATTGACAAGACACCAGCTTGCGCCTTGAACCTGCTGGACAAAATTATTATCACTGGTGATATCTCAACAATTGACAATGTTTCCCCTCGACAATTAATACAGAGTGGCTCAACATACAGTGAACAATATGATTATTATGCAAACTCAGTTAGGAATATTATTTCAAACTGATCATTGATGCTGTTAGAGCGAATGCCAAAATAGGGTAAACGAGAGAATGAACCAGTTGTATGTATTTCTGGCTGGATCAAGTCCATTCGTAACCTAGTTATTGGAAGGATTCAAAATATCCGTACAGAAATCACTTGTTTTTCTGTTGCCGGTTTTCTTATAGACCAAATTTTTATCACGTTAAGGATAGAACATTTAAGACAAAATATCCCCATGTGCCCTCTCCAAGCCAATTTATTACTCTTTACATACGAATTGGATAGTTTGACTACTTTAGTTAAATTAGAGAAAGAAAGAACGCCAAACCAAAGTTTAACCTCAGTTTCAGATCTATAAATGACCCAATTTCTTTCCACAACGCCAATATAAATGGATATTTCCACCAGACTTGGAACAACTGAGAATTCATAATGTTATTCAATGTCGTATATGGATCTATGCACAAAGGATCAAAACGATGACAGCCTCTACATCAAGCAGCACACCACAAGGAAGGGTTTCGATTTCCTGAACGTGATTTCCCCTTCATGTCGAGCAATACAATCAGCTGCCGTTTATTGTAGCTACATTTCACAATTTACTTAGGGACTTTAGAGCATTAACAACTAAGCTTTTTAATCAAGCTTTCCGCAGCAAAGGTCTGGTTAAGTCATTCCAGTGATTGTATGGTAGTCATTCAGAGTAATTAACTAAATATGACACATTGCTTGTGTGCGGAGGTTTTTTGTGGTGGAATAAGGCAAAATGTTAACTGCCTTACAATCCTTATACAAGGACTTTAAATGCAGTGTTCGAGTAAATGAATTTTTTACGGTAAACCGTGACTTGAAACAAGGATGTCTGTTATCTCTATTGCTTTTTAACTTGTTCGTACATGATTTATCACATAGTCTCAACAGTTTTAATTTTAGTGTAACTGTAGACAATTTTAGTATTGCAGCATTAGCATATGCGGATGATTTAGCGTACCTAGCTGAGGATGAACCTGATCTCAGTTTACTGTTAGATGTTCTACATACTTGGTGTTGCTCAAATAAAATAAAGATCAATAAGGAAAAATCTAAAATTGTTTGGAAACCCGTCTGTCATACAGACGAAGTATGTTTTTAATGTCGGAAATATGGTTTTAGAAATTGTTTGTTAGTATAATTATCTTGGTCTAATGTCTAACAGAACACTTTGACTTTAGTGCAATGGCACATGCGGCTTTGGGCCTGCTGATTTCCAAAGTTAAGACGATAGGCGGTATGCATCTCCATACATAATTCCAAATTGTACAATAGTATGGTGTGGTCAGTTCTTGACTACGGGGCGGCTATCTGGGGTAATTATGACGTGTCAGCAATAAATGCTGTACACCATAGAGCCATTAGATTTTATTTGGGACTCGGCAAATATGCCCCTAATGCTATAAATTGGGACATGGGATGGACACTACCCCTTGTCAGACAGTGGAAAAGTGTAGCAAGACAATGGTGTCGCCTTAAGAATATGTAGTGAAACAAATATGTGTTTATCTGGGCTGACAGCTACGCTGTGAATGGATGTTAAAAAGGGAATGTTAGAGTAAGAAAGAAGTTTTGTTGATATTGATTTAGGACACCTGTAAAACTCGACGGGTGTCACAGATAAATCTTTTGTGTGTACACAGGTTGAACAATGGTGTATGAATGAGTATGTGACCTGTTGGAATGAGATTCGAAATGGGCTTAACAAATTGAGAGCGTACCGGTGTTACAAGCAAGTGTATGGTGTGGCGTGGCTCCTATTCGAGTCGAAAACGGTCGGTTTGAAGGAATACCTGTCCACAATAGAACTTTTATTCACTGTACTGACAGCGTAGAAGACGAGGTCCATGTGTTGTTTCACTGCATCGACAAAGTTTGTTTAATATTCAGCGATGCCAGTGTGTGTTTTATACTTACCAAAGTCTGTTTTTTATTCTTAATCGTAGAAAACCTCATTTATATGGGTAACGTTTTACTATATCATCTTTATGGCATATCTGTATGAATTTTATGATAATTTGTCTCTCATAGTTCTATTGAATGGTTCTGTATATTGTATCAATGTCAATTGGTACAAATTGTTTATGCATGTACAGAAGTGAGACCCTAATAAACTGTTGCCTGCCTGTCTGTCTGGAATAGGCCACGATTACCATTTTCGAACACGTGGTATCATAAACAAATAACGGATGCACTCAGACAATCTTCATCAATATTTTGTCATATGCGCCCTACGGAATCTCTTTCGGCAGACACGGACGCTTAGAATTAAGGGGACTTTTGTGATAGCTTTGTATGATGGCTAAACGTGTCAGGGAAGCTACAAAGACTAAATTCAAGACGTAAACAATAATAATCAGTCTCCATTATCAGAGGCAAAATAGTGACGAAAATTCTATGAATTGATCACAGAAAATCAGTGATGCATCAGGTGCTCTCGAAAATGTCCTGCTCTACCGCTTGCACCCGCTACTCACACAATCAGCCTGAAAAATAAGCGTTTTCTTGTTGCCGAACGCCGCATTCAATACGCCGATCATTGGATTGGTAAGCGATGCAACACTGCACAGTGAATTGCGGAGACCACTGGGTCGTCCTTGGCCACAGGATCTCATACACATCCTACTTGTTCTTCTGCAACGCCCAGTGGACTTGATGTGGTGTTGAAATCGGAACTGACGGAAGGAATCTGTGATACCATTTATCCCCAGGTCGATAACCATAAGTTAATTGTTGAAATAGCCAAAGTATGGATAACCAGATCAAACAGGCAACCCAAGCTAAATTGACAGAGTCGGTTATTAACCCTTTGAATGGTTGCATATCTGACTTCATGACCTTTAAAATGATCGCAAATTTGAGACTCACTGTTTGGCCATGTAATCGAACAACCAGCTCTGTGATTGACAGTGGATTCTGAAGATGGCCGATGACTTCCTTGGCTGAGTACTTGACCTTGACAGTGTCACAATGGTGTACTACCAAAATCCATTGTTCCTTTCTGGAGTCTCTTGTGAAGGGACAAAGACGTACATCAATGGCTCCACGTTTTCGTCAAAGATAATCACGGTTATCTGTAGGCTAAGCATATTTATCTAACCTTCTTTCTCTAATACCTCAGCTAAGGCATTGTGAGAGAAGGAGTTAGGGTATCTCCAGTTCTAGTTCGTGAGGTTCTGTATCAAACTAACTCAATAATACGGGTCTAACGTGAGACGGAAAGGGCAATATCTCTTATTATATTAAATGGACTGCAAAACCGAAGCTGAATGAGTGTTGTGACAAAGCCATTTCCTTCTGTTTGCATATCTCTGAAGAAGATGATGGTGACCATTTATTGGCAGCAATGCATTTCGAAATCAGATTGAGAACCTTGCGTCCACATGATGATCAATTGAAAGTATTTAATGTAATTAGTGCTTCAGCAATATTACATTAATCAGTAGACATGCTTTATGTTTGGGTGGTCATGCTTGATTGACCGCGTACCGTTGTCCCACAACGACGTGGATCATTGCTTTTAATGCTGGTCGCTCAATTCTTTTGCCCAGACTCGAATGTTTACGTTTCCCCTTTTAGCGAACACCTGATGACAATACTGATTTTTAGTGATCCAATTATATTTTTATCATCACTATTTTGCCTTTTCTGCCCATTGGAACTTGTTTCAGCAGATACTCGACACTTTATTATTCTCTGGCGATTCATAAGCACCTACATCAAAGAGCAATTATAGAGTTCGTGATCTCGTGACATTTTCAAAATAAACCTTCTTCTGGAGGGATGCAACGCTTTACTGAACAATATTTTAGCGACATTTCTGCGTGTCAGCGTATTGTGAGGATGAAAGACCGTGGGCGTGTAACTTTTGTGAAACCCAAGATCCCGGCATTATGCTGACAGAACAAGGCTCACAACCAGGGTTAATATTGCACTTGAACCTCTGCGGATCTTTGCAGTTAAAGGGCGCTAATCCTCAGAGAAACAGAGTCGCGTCATAGAACAGTGGACCATGGCGCCCTTCAGTGTAGTGAGCGCCTAATACGTCGCGCAGGATAGTGTGTCTAAACACAACAGCGTTCTTTATCATCATAAACGTGCCTTTATTTCATCACAGTAACTTACTCCTAATACCGCCTGGT